TAGAATAGAATAGAATAGAATAGAATAGAATAGAATAGAATAGAATAACAGAGTTGGAAGGGACCTTGGAAGTCTTCTAGTCCAACTCCCTGCTTAGGCAGGATATCATACACCACTTCAGACAAATGGTTATCCAATCTCTTCTTAAAAACTTCCAGTGCTGGAGCATTCACAACTTCTGGAGGCAAGTTGTTCCACTGATTCATTGTTCTGTCAGGAAATTTCTCCTTAGTTCTAGGTTGCTTCTCTCCTTGATGGGGGTGTTTTTTCGATGGTGGAAGGGGCCAGCAAGGACATCTTGCTAGTGATGGGCAGAGGGACATGTGAAAAAAGACAAGGTGGTGGTGTCTAGTGCCAATTTTTCTTTTCAACCCTCTGGACTGAACCCCATTTCCTGGTTGTTAGATCCTCAGTGGGCCTAGCTTAGGTTGCTATTAGCTTAAAGTCTAGTTAGCCCGTAATAAAATAGTCATCATTCTGGAGTTTATCATATCTCCATGTTTGCTCCATAGCATAAGAAGAAAGATCCACTTGATTGGTCATTCCAGACACCTCATGGACCATATTGATTTTCAGAGGACACTTGAGGGAAGCTCCCTTTAGGACCTGGTGCATGGGTTGACCAAGATCTTGGTCATCTCTTGGAATGAGAGAGTGGCAACAGCCTTGGATTGATTTGTACCTGTTGTATTTTAATTAGATCACTTGGAAGAGGTTATCAAGACACCTCAGTCCAACCTCTGCAGCCTTCTAGGTTAAAATATCCTTGACAAATTCTATACAGCATCTCCAGCAAAGGGGAAGCTGGAACGAATGTCTTAGTATGTTTTAAATGTTTTTTTATAGTTATCCATTCTGAAAGATCCTTCAGAGGGTGATGGGTTTTGGGTTTTTTGCATAATAAACATATTGTAGGTAGCACAAAGAAAACTATAGGGCTGAGAGAAAACATGCTTTGAATTGTATTTTTCATATTTATGCCCTGCTTTTCCTCTTAATAGTTCAAGATAATATTATCACAGTGTAGATGTTATTTTCACAATAAACACATAAAATGTGTTTGGTTGAGAGTAACTCAAATGGCTGAACTGGTTGAGTGGTTCAAAGGTCCCAACTAAGGACAGGTAGCTGTGTGAATAGTGAAGGCACTTCTGGTTTCTGGTACTGTAAAATAAAGCATTATCAGTACCTTGGAGAGCTCCACACAGGAACACAGGTAGTTTTTTTTAAAAAAATAAACTATTATTGTGAAAATGATTGTTTCTGCATCCATCTAACTAACACCTTAAAACAGTGTTTCTCAATCAAGGCCACTTAAAAATGTGTGAACTTCACCACTGAGTGTAGATCACTATCTCCAAACATTTTATGAACCTTTGCAGTTGCAATCCTGAAGTGTTACATACCCAGAAAGATTTCATAAAGTTGTTAAAAGTCTGTAGAGATTCTCAGTCATCCGGGTCATGGTTGTCCCAAAGGTGCTTTGTCAAGAGGCAACTGGACTTTGTTTTGTTTTTTTTGAAGACATTTCACTTCTCATCCAAGAAGCGTCTTCAGCTCTGAAGTCTCTAGAGAAGCAAAACGTCTTCAAAGAAAAAACAAAGTCCAGTTGCCTCTTGCAAAAAGCACCTTTGGGACACAAAATTGTTACTTATCTAAAGCTGAAATGAGTGCTGATGGTCACAATAGAACGGATAATCCCAGTTCTATCCAAAGTTTGAATATAGATGTGGTAGTCCAGGCAAGACAGTTGACAATTCCAGAAAGACAGATACAGCTTAAAATCCACAGGTGGAAAAACACAAGGCCAGATTCTCACACACATTGTTTTTCCACTTGATTGCTGTAAAGCACTGTTCCTTAAACTGAAAGGTCCAGCTTTCATCTCTGATCATCTCTGGTACCAAAGCCCAAATCCTCACAGTTGGATCTACCTGAGATCGCAGCTCAGTCCTTCTCTCCTTCTTCTGATGCAACGTCATATGTCACAGTTTTGATGGTATGACAACCATCAGGTTGAAAAAGGCAGGGATAACTCAGAACCCATCCAAGTGATTGGCATCTGTATTTTTTTTTTTTCCAGAAAGGAAAAAGGTGCCTGCGAAACCCTAAATCTCATGAGGCAATCAACTTTGAGTTCACCGGCTGCACCAGCGTCCACCCCTATTGGCCAAAATTCTGTGGCAGCTGCATAGACAATTGCTGTTGTACACAACGTATCACCAGCACAGTGGAAGTTGAATTTCAATGCCCAGAGGGAGAGTCATTTGTCCAGAAAATGATGTTCATCAAATCTTGCTCTTGCCACTTTGACTGTCCTGCAGAGAACGATGTCTTTCTGGGCAGTTACCACCGGTCAGTGGTAGAGGACCACTTCAAACTAAAGAATCAGTAGTGCTGGGTCCTACTCCCACTCTAGATCCAGAAGGTTGAAAGTATCTAAAGATGTATTTGCTGATCACATTTTAGAGAAAGCGGCAATGATCTCAAATGATCCAAGAGACCAGCAACATATATCTGGCATGTTGTGTTTTAAGACAGGGCTAATGTACTTGGTTCTCTACCAATCACACACAATCTTGCAAAGGGGGAGAGGCGGTAGCTGGTGATCGCTTGTTCTGGCTCCCCATTTTATGGCTGCTGAATAATAATTTCGGACTAGTCCGTTTTTAGAGGTGCTTCCATTTCCCACCTTCCAGTCAGAGCTGAAGAAGCTTCTTGGATGAGAAGTGAAACGTCTTCAAAGAAAAACTAGAAAGTCCATTTGCCTCTTGAAAAAGCACCATCTCTCTCTCTCTCTCTCACTCTCTCTCCCCCTCCCTCCCTCCCTCCCTCTCTCCCTCCCTCTCTCCTGTCTCTCTCTCTGTCCGCTCTCTCTGTCTCTCTCTCCCTCTCCTGTCTCCCTCTGTCTCTCTCTGTCTGCTCTCTCTGTCTCTCCTCTCTCTCAATCTGCTGGTGGAGGAAAAGAGAATTATTTTTCCATTTGTTTTGGATTTGCTTCAACTGCAGTGCATGTAGTATCATCCCCAGCACTGTCCGCTAGAGGATGCTGTTCAGTAATGCTTAGAAATCCAACCATATAAGAAATAAACCCTCCACTTGTTTGTTTTTAAGCATCTCCCAAAATCTGATATAAAACCCAAATACTTTAGCAACTTCTAAAGGACCAGAACTGTTTCTGCAGAATAAATGGTGCTGTTGCTGACTCCCTGGCTTGTCATATCTACTTGCAAGCTAGTGGAAAGGCAGATAACCAAGCAAAATCTAAAGCCCCAAATGTTGAGCTTCAAATGGCCACAAAACAGATGTGCAAAGCAGCTGCCTGGTTGTTGTGGCCTGAATGTAAGCAGGCTTTAGGGAGTTTTAGCAGCTTATGCACTCTACTCCATCAGCATATCCTGCTAGAGTGCCAAGCTTTGGGCACTCTAAGCTGCAGTGCATGTAGAAAACAGTCTTCTGGTAGGCTGAAGTTGGATGAGGATATGGAAGACCTGAAAGAAGATAGGTCCTTCATTAGAGAGGCCTCCATCCCACCCCACTCCACCTCTTGAATGTCTTGATGCTGTTGTTATTGTCTGTTTGTTCTTGACTTCCTCTGTGCTGAATTGGTACAGTGGCAACCAGCCAGGTTGGCTCCATTAACAGAGTCGCTGATGAAATTTGTAGTATTTCACTTCCACACAGGGTAGCTAGAAGCCCCTATGATGCCCACAGCCAAGACACCACAGGCCTTGTTCCCTTTGCTCATAATCATAGCAACGGGTATCCAGAGATGACTTTTGACTTTGTAGGAGCAGAGTTCCTAACAACTGTTCATGAACTAACTCAACTTGGCAATCAAGAACAACCATATGACTTTCCATATTTTCTTTTCCTTTCTGATCTTTTTCCCCCTTCTGGATCCTGCCCTTTGAATAAACAAAGAACAGCAACACAAGGAGAAAAAGAGATGAAACCAATTCAAAATGTTGTTTTTTTTTCCTGTTGCAACAGACCGACCCCATAAGAAGCATTAGAGATGCTTTGTTATTTGTGCCCCTTTTATGACCTTGGCCACCAGGTGACAGTATGCACTTCGCTAAGCAGAGCAGATAGCAGCCAAGAACATCAGGTTTCAACTACATTGAACTGAATTTATCATATTTGTGAGAAGATATATATAAAGATACATTGTTAGAACCAGCCCTGCATAAAGGAAGGGCAGCAGATTCAACCATACATCAACTGATAAAAAAAATAATAAGGGGTCCTTATTGCTGTCTGAGTTTGGTTGTTTTCTCGCAGACATTTCATTATCCAAACTAGGTAACATCATCAGTGCAGTGGGCACATTACCTACTTTGGATAATGAAACATCTGCAAGAAAATCACCAAGCTTGGAGAGCACCGAGGACCCCTCATTTCAACCCTGAGTTCCAAATATTATCCTTTATTGATTAACTTACAATGTCATGTGTGAGACACTTGAGCAAAATGGTAGATAACAATCCCAGTATGACCCAAGTTACAAATCTATGTTGGATTTTTAAAAACACCTATTCCACGCTATCATTTATTTATTGCATTTACGTCTCACCTTTTTTATTTTTTAGGAAGTTAAAACATCACCCTTCTCCCTTTTTATTCCTAAAAAAACCCCCTGAAGTACGGTTTGCTGAAAGAGTAAGTGACTAATGTTCTCCAGGAAATTTCCCTGGGTAAAGATGGTCTTCATTCTGGGTCTCCCATCCCAATCCAACATTTTAACTTGCTTGGAATAAAACCCACTGAGTCCAATGGAGCAAACTAAGTCATTTTGCTGTTTACTTAACAGCTCTATTTTGTTCAGTCACTAACTGGTTTGCAACACCATAGACCACCGGTCGCCAACTCGTGGTCCATGGCCCACTGATGGTGTGTGAGAAAATTTTGGTGGTCCGCAGAGAAATGACACCCCCAGAGCACCCCCAAAGCAATTAATCCAGGCTGCACGGGAACACAAGGCTGCGCCGCCCACATGGCCCGTGGGAACCCTCCCCGCCTACCCACTCCTTACCTGGGAAACTTACCTGCTAAGTTGCTATTTTTCCTTTTTTTTCTTTCCAACCATCAGCTGTTCTGTTGTGCCGGGAGATTTAGTTTAGCTAGAAAGCAAGAAATAGTTGGATTTCTTGCTTTCTAGCTAATCTTTAGATCTTTGGCTCTATTAAGCAGAGCCAAACCTTCTTTAGGACTGAAGCAGTGCAGACTCAGATAGCCGATGGCAGAAACACAGATCTCTAAGTAAATCTGTGAGCAACTCAATCTGCCTGCCTTCTTTGCCTGATTTTGGGTAAATGTAGCTCTTTTTTTTTTAAAAAAATCAATATTTATATAAATATTTATAATATTTACATACAAGCCATGCCCAGCCAGTCACATGACCACCAAGCCACACCCACAAATTAGGCCACGCCTGCAGAACTGGTTAGTGGTCCCCGGGATTTAAAATTATGAGTTTGGTGGTCCTTGAGGTCCAAAAGGTTGGCGAGACTACAGCACCCCAGCACCCCGTGTCTTTTATTGTGCCCTGGAGTTTGCCTGAATTCATGTTCATTGCCTCAATGACAGTGTCTAACCATGTTTCCGCCTGCTGTCCCCTTCTCCTTTTGCCTTCCATTTTTCCCAACATCAGAGGGTTTTTTTCTCCCCCAGTGACTTCTCATTTGGTGGCCAAAGTATTTGAGCTTCAGCTTCCGTAGCCGTCCTTCCAAAGAACAAGGTCGATTTCCTTTCGGACTGACTGACCTACTCACAGCTCGACACTTTTCAACTAGGCCATAGAAAGAATCCCTCTTGTTGGGAAACTCAGTTTTCGTGGCTGCATGAGGGAAGGGAATTTGCAGCTGTGGCTCATCACTCATGCGCTTCGACATCCACCTCATTCCGTTCCCTGCAGTTAATTACAAGAGAGGACTTGATGGCTTGAGTCGCCCAGCAGGGAAAGTGAGCTTTGCACATTACTTGTTCCTGCAAGCAGCAGTCAACACACTGCCTTCCTGATAGCTCTCCCCCCCCACCGCACACACACACACACACACCCCAGCCCTGGGCCTCCGTCCAGGCAGACCTATCATTTTCTTCCAGGTTACCCTTCTCTGCCTGTGTGTGCTCACCAGATGGGGCCCATCCTGGGTGTGCCAGCTGCTTCTGAAAGGATAAGAGAATCCTTTCTTGGTATTTAGTCCTGAATTTTGCACAGAACCCTAGCCAAGCCAAGGGACTTATCAGCCTAGCCCAGCTAACTCTTGGTGGGGAACAACAAGGTTCCAGTATTGGGGCAGCCCTTGTGACATTTTTGCAGCTAAAATAAAGCAAGGAAGGACTGGGAAGAGTTTCCTCCCCCACCCCCCACACTTTCCAGAGATCTTCAAAGGGTGGAGCTGTTTGCCAGGACAGAAGTTCTGGCTTTGCTGAATTAGAAGCAAAAAAATTGATTTTTTTCCCCCCTCCCCCTGGCAAAATTCTAATTTTTGCAGAGAGTTCAAAACGAAATTCAGTCAGTAACTGAATTGAGGAATTGAATATAACTCTAAGGCAGTGTTTTACAAACTTGGCAATTTTAAGATGCATGGACTTCAACTCCCAGAATTCCCCAACTACCATGCTGCCTGGGAAATTCTAAGAGTTGAAGTCCATAGGTCTAAAAGTTGCCAAGGTTGAGAAACGCTGCTCTGAAGAGACTATAATCCTGCATTAAGCAAAGGACTATCCTATCCATAGTACTATGCTGCAACAAAGCCTGTATTAAAGCTAATTAAAGTGTAATTTTTAATGTGATTGAGATGGGTTAACTGGCTCTATTGATTGAAGTTTTGTCTTAGCTATATCCCATTTTGGAACAGGGTTTTTGAGATTATTACTCAGAAAACAAGGATGACCTTTTAAACATTTTATTTCTCTGTCCTTTTCCAGATCAAATATTTGTGATCAGAACTGGTTACTGGTTATCCAGTATAGTAGGGATTTTTCAGAAGCTAGGAAAAATTATTTCTTTCACCTTTAGGTTTTTTAAAATTGTTTTTCTATACTCTTTTAAAAAATGGAATATGAATGCAAAAAGCAATTTTAAAATAAAAAATAAAATAAGGACAATCTATGGAAAACAAATGGGACAGAAAGGCCAACACTAAATTTGAATTTTTAATAAAAGTGTCTTAAAGTACAAAATATATCAGCATTTAGGACCTGGGATACTGCAAAAAGTGTTTTTAATTTTTTTCAAAGTCAAGGGTTTTAATGCTGATGCTTTGCACTATTGTAATAGTTTAATTTTTTGTCTTAACTGGGGTTCATTAAAAAAAACATGGTTAGGCAAATTGTAGTCTAGCCCAATTATACAGTTAGTATAATTCTCAACACGGCTGAATAGAATCTAAATGACTACATTGATTTTGTAATAAAGGAAATGACAACTAAATTGGCCTTTCAGCTAATAGTTTTAAATTAAGCACCATTCCTCTAATGAAAAAAGTGGATTAGATATCCAACACTATAGACAGAAAACAAAATATGAAGTCAGTAAACAGCTGCACAATGCTCTTATCTAATACCATACCAAAATCTATCTTCTTTTCTCCTGAAGACTTATATAAACTGGAATAAAATTTAATATTATTTTAATGGCGAGACAGTGTTATATATTACATCAGAAGTCTCTAACCTTGACAAGTTTAAGATTTGCGGACTTCAACTCCCAGAATTCCCCAGC